CAGAACAGCTTTCTCATTTTTGCAAAAATAATGATCTTTTATGCCCTGCGCAAAACCATGAAAACTTTTTTTTTTTTCCACAAGGGATGAATTTTCCTAAAATTTCACTGTGATATGCTATCACACAGTTAATAATAGAAATGAAGACACCTTTCTGTATACAAAATTAAAAAATAATCACAAAAAGAGTAGAAAATATAACTCCTAAGGGAAAATGGATGTAGTAGGTGTCTTGGAAAATAATAAATTATGCTCATTGTATAGCCGATGGATTATTTTTTTTTAAAGAAAATAAAGACCCTGAGTTTTGCTGTTAACAATCCACCATGCTTAATTTTTACTCCCCTCCCTTATAACACATTGTGATACCTACCATGTAGAAACAAAACCACTAAAGTAGGACTGGAACTTGGAGACCAATTTAACTATTCTCAGTTAAACATGGCCTCTGACAGAAATAAAACATATTAGCAAAGTGATTACTAGAAGTTTACATTCTGATTTTCCTGTATAAACAAAATTACTCAATTCCCAGGACTGCAAACATTTAAATGATTCCCCTACTGAAAGTCAATGTTTACATTTCCTAAAATACTAGAGCATATTAACTTCCTGCATGCAATTTTCTAGATCTAGATAGCATACAAGAATATATCATCAATTTTTTAATACTGCTTGTAAAAGAAGAGTCTCACACTGCTAGAAGATTTAGCAGGACTGCTTTAATTATGTATTTTTTCTTCCTTTGACCGACAGACTTGCATTCATTAGCTGCTTCTTCCTGCTTTTGTATCCCCATTATTCCCATTTAACTGTGAAATATCTCAATAGATCAGCGCTTTTTCAAGCGACTGAAGTTAGCACTTACCTGCTGGATACCGTACGTCCAGCCTTGCCTTATACGGTCCCTTGCCCACACATTATGAGCATTCTCTGCTAGTTTATCCACCATAGCTTCTTGAGAGGGCGTCAGTTTGATAAAACTCAGATCCATGGGAGCAGGCTTATATCCGCTCAACAACTGGTAGCTGTCAAAAACCATAGAACTTGCAGTTAATTTTCAGTAAGAAAAAATTAATAGAAATAACAAAGGAAACAAGTGATATGTATGCAACATATGTATATAAATAATCTGTCTTTGAACATAAAGAATAATAATGCACTAATGTTTGATTTTGTTTCAAGCTAATTGCATCGTGATGGAATGATGTAGCTGGTAATGAAAGCTACCCAAAATGGTCAGAACTAAAAATGTTTTTAAAGTACTTTGGTACTTTCACACATTCAAAAGAGTAGATTAAGTTGTTGCATATCTAAATACTTATATGAACACTATTATTGTTACCTCTGAGCACTTTACAATACTTATTAAATTCTATCTACCACCTACAATAACAAGAAAATATATTCTTCCTATTACATATAGGGATGTGAGAGACAGCCATTCAAATGGCTTATTCAAAATCACATATGAAATCCATCTAATAAAAAATACCTTAACTATCCTTCAAATCACAGGAGCAAATATTTAAAATTGAAGCATGACTTCAGAAGAGAGAGACAGCTTCCTTGCTATTTTCAGCACTCCTGAGAATGAAGTGTTGTTTCATTTCTATGAAGTTGTGCCCATCCAAATTAATTATAGTAATCTCCCACTTATGACCAAACCTTCTTCAATAAAGGACGTAATGCCTTGTGATGTTGCAGCACATCAGGACTTACTAAACTTACAGTGAAAACCTACAACACTATGCAGCATCAGCATGGTGGCAGACGTTGCCTCCCTTACCTGAGTGGATGAGGGAACACACAGGGGAAGGGGAGAAGGAAGAGCAAAGCAGTGGGCAGACAGGGGCTGTCCTGGGTATCCGTGCCCAGGTGCTAGCGGGACAGCCTCTGCAAGGAGAGGCCGGAGATGCCCCGTGCCAGACACAGCCGGTTCCCAAAAGGGACCCACCACAGGGCACAGCTGAGCCTCTCAGCCATGCTGGTGGCACCTCTGGGAAAACATTTTTAAGAAAGGGCAAAATGCTGCACAGGCAGAGAGGAGTGTGGAAAAAAGTGCGAAAAACAGCCTTACACAAAGCAAGGTCAGAGGAGTCTGGGAGGGGAGCAGGGGGCAGAGGTGCTTCAGCTGCCAGAGCTGTTGCTTCCCCACAGCCCCAGGAGACCAGCCCCGAGCTGGTGGACGTGTCCCGAATGTCCCTGAGTACTTCTCCTTGAACGGACAAAACAAAGAGCTATTCTGGTCATAACGAAAGGGGTTTATGGAAAATAAACAACAACATTCTCTCACTGAAATTATACGTGCTGGGATGTTTAAAGAGTGGATAGTTTAAATTAATTGTCTAATTATTTTCCAACAACTTTGTAATTTTCTTGTATTTTCTTTGTTTGGACTGACAGAGAAATACAGAAAAAGAAACAGGTTTTATCCCCATTTATATTCTAAAATATTCAAACACTCTACAAATCTTAATTAATTCTCATCTGTGATAGCTATTCCAAAACCCATTTGAACAAATTATTGGTTGAAAACAATAATTGAAAACAAGCAAGTGATTAAGGGGGATTATCATCTATAAACATGAGGTTGGATCATCCTTCGAAATTACCACATCAAAAAAAAAAAAGTTTAAAAACAACGATTCAAGAATATCAATCCAATATCAACCATTCATATAGTTACCAACCAGCAAATCTCTATTACAGCACTAAGGAAGCAGCGGCAGATGTGCAGCTATCTCCCTCGCACCAGCTGACTGCCCTCATGGTTACCTCTCCTCAAGGAGCTGTGAAGTCACCTCAGGGAGATAAGTAAAACCAGTCGGTAAGGGAACGGAATTAACGCCTTTGTCAGGCTGGCAATTATTGCATGCTTTCCTGTCACACTCACCTACACAAGTGTTATGTTGTGTATATAAAAGCTTCGATAGCCACAGCTATTTCGATATAAGAGCAGGGTCAAAAGACCAGGGCTCTGAAAGGGTGCTCGTGATTTTGTCACAGAGGATGTGTACACCTTATCAAGATGCAAATGACTACTCATCAAGGATAAGTATCAATGGATCCTTAGGAGAATTTAAATAGCATACTGTGTGTACAAATTCATGCTGGAGAATTGTCTTTAGCTGTAGACCAATGTTATTAATCTAACAGGTAGCTAAAATCCATCTCCTGCCCAGTCATCTGCTCATTAGTATCTTACTGGTCTTACCATGTGACTTTTCCCCTTGTGATTTTATACATATTATAATCCTCCTTTATCCCACTGAATTTTTTACCAGTTTAGGCAAACTTATAAACCATGGGCTCAAATGTATGTTGGGCTGTAGGTCTGTCATATGCTTATCACCAATTACAGTTCCATTACTTTCAACTGTGTTAAAGTTGCCAAATTCTTCATTCCTAAACTGGGGGACACACTGGTGTTAAGGAAGAAGCCAGGGCACTTTGGCTGGGCCAAAGAGTGGAGTGCCACTCTACCATATAGCAGCCTGACCCCAGTCCTACCAATGCTGTTGCCATTGAAACATTCAGGAAAAAGTCAGGTGGCTGTACCAGTTCTCTCCACTCTGAGTCACCAGATGACCATCCTAGGACTTTCAAAAGTGTTACCTTTAAATATTTGCAGCACAGCAAAATACATTGACAAGTTTGCTGTAAAAGTTCTTTATCAAGTTTCTGAAGCACACTCCAGATATAAAAGAACTATGTAACAATGGATGCCATACATTTCAATGAATCACAGACAACCTAAACTTTGTCTACACATCTGATCATAAACACCTAAAAGAAAAGGTGTAGATTAAGGTGTGTGTAAATTCTCGAAAATTCATATGCATACATGCATACCCAAGTGCCAATAAAACTAGCAATATTTTTAAAATACAGTTCACTTAACTCACACTGCCTAACAAAAGAGGCATTTGAATTTCAACTTACTTTTTTGGAAGTTTCATTTTTTTCACTTTTTCTTCAGCGTGTTCATCAGCAATTCCAACATGGCAGCCTAATGCCAGCAGGGTTCTAGAACACAGAAATCAGAGACAAATTACTGCCAAAGTTTCTATTTTCCAAGTTGCTGCTGGGTTTATAAATGGCACTATACCGCAAATGAGACCTATGGGAAAGACAACAGTATAATACAAAAAGATCAACACCAGCCTTTCTGTATAAGCTTTCTGATAGTGTGAAGAAAATGCCACAAGATGTTCCTAAAAATTTTAGTAAATATATGACTGGACTTGCTCCAAAACGGAGCTATCATACAGTCTGTTTCATCTGTATGAGGCATCAGCTGGAAGATTCCCTGCCCTTGAAATATATATTTAAGCTTTGTATACACTTATTCATACTGCGTTATACAAAAATCTTTTTATTTTGTTATTTACTTCAAAGCTGATGAAAGGAGAAAAGGCAGGGAACGTCACTTGTTATCCTTAGAATGTGTCTTCTTTACAAAGACAGGCTGTTATACAGAGATTTTAATTGGATCTGGATTTTGTCAGGACATGCTACTGAAGAGAGGACTGACAGCAGAATGCATGATAAGCATTGGGCCAAAACGGCCATCTTAATGCCCAGTATGGATTTTGCACGTCAATCCACTACAGAGAAAAGGATTGTCAAGCTAGACACTGTGTGCCACGTACCACTGGGCTTCTACCACAGAGCCACTGACCCAGGCAGCCCATTCTGGCCTTACTCTGCAAGACCTAGCTGTTTTCAGGAAACAAACACTCTCTACATAACCTTACAACAGGGTCAACACTATTAATCGAGTTTCTGATTACTCCAGACCTCTTCCTGTCCTTACAGTCACACTATCCAGCAGTATAAATCTTAAGTCTCATTCATCTCCAGGATTTGATCTCTAACACAACAATTATTCGTTCCTGCACTTAACATTCAATACTGAGTTACCAAGTCTTAGTTTCTTTAGCCCAGGTGCATTACTAAACCATTGACATAGAAATGAAAAGAAAACCTGGACAAAAGTCAGAGACCACTTTGGAGTCAGATCAGAAGTTTCTCAAAATCTGAGGGTGACATCCATATCTTTGATTGAAACTCATTACATGGAAGAAATCACAATTGTAAACCTTGGACTCCATTCCCAATTTTCTTGAGCTGGAAAGAAAGCTGGTAAATAAGGGTTTTGTTTGTTCTTGTCTTCAGCTAAAACAATATTTTCTAGTCTTGCTTTAACTATATTTACTGCTCTTAAACTGAATACGGAAAAAAGAGCATAAATATTGCTCTAGCAGTATTTCTCTCGGCAGATGGATCATGTGTTTCAAGGAGGTTTTTACATCAAATTTTTAGTTCCAGCTACATAAGTAAATCCTACTGTTATGGTCTGAGAACCCTGATTTAAAATTCAATGGTAAAATCAGATACAAGGAAACATGCAGTGGCTACCACCTGCAAAACATGCTATCTGCTAAGAATATTCCATGCAGCTAAATTTCAATTGGCATAAATCGTACCTGATTTCTATGCAGCTATTACCAGCAAAAGTAAGAGAATATATCTAACAGTGGAAAGCAGTACACAGGAGCTAACCCCTGGTAACCCTCATTTTCTTCTAATGTAAGACAGGAATTTGAACCCTGCATTACCTCCACCCAGACACAGAAAATTCAAATAAGAGAGCCACTGCAGGGTAAAAAGGCATACCATACTGATAGAACCTTAAAGACCCCTAAAGCCCTTCAAAACTAAACAAGAAAACTAAAAGTAGCTGAATGCAGCCTTCAGCGTAATATTGATACACATAATTATCATACATAACTGCGTAAATAGGTAGAAATAGGAAAGACAGCCACAAAATAGTAAGTATAAAAAAATACAAGATCAAACTGCAAAATACACATTTGAACATACAGAAACAGTATGAGCAAGCATATTTTAATCCTATGACATTTTCAGAGGTAACTCATCCCTGAATCTTGACGTTTCATATAGTATATCACTTTTATAGTTCATAAAAATACTCAGCCATACTGAAAAATATACAGAGATCCTAATATATTAAAAAGAAATGTTGTGTTAGACAATATGACTCTGAACTTCCTCGGTTTCTGCCCCTCTCCTCTAGTAGAGCTAGCAACAGAAAAAATAGGAAAAGGCCAAAAAAAAAAAAAAAAAAAAACAATTACAGTAAGAGTTATCCTTGACGTCTTGCAACTACTTCAAGTATGCAGTATGTAGTTTGATGCAAATTGTAAACAACATAGCATACAACTGACTAGAAGTTTTAAAAGAATATTTTCTTTCCCTCTTCCCCATTCTCCTCCATTGAGGTTGACTGCTAATAGACTAGAAACAGCTAGTAAAGAACTAGTCAAAGTAGCTTACAATTTATGTCATCACAGTATGGCTCATCAGCTTCACAAAAGAGACCCCTCTCCCGGCTAGCTTCCCCTTATATCCCGGGCATGACGTCAGCATGGTATCGAATATCCGGCTATGCCCAACTCCCAGCTTCTGTGAAGAATTAACCCTATCCCAGCTGGACCCAGGACACTCATCTAGAATGGGTTAGTGCACAAGAGACACTCATATTCTAGTCCCTGAACAATAGATGGTCTACACGACAAATACAACATCATGTTGCAAAATTAGAACTGTATCCTTCAGAAAGCAAGGACTAATACAAGAACGAAATGAAGACTGAGCTCAGTAAGCATACAAATTTTGAAATCCATAGAAAAACTGAATGCTTTATGTTTTGAATATGATCTATTTAACGAAAAGTCACTCTCTAGAGTAAGTAATAAAATTACTAAAATAAAAGTAGCCCATAATTTATACATTCATGAAACCAAATTATTTTTTGTTTTGTAAGGGATAGACTTCGAAAAGCACTGGGTCCTGAACCAATAAACATGTAAAGATAAATAGAATCTGTTTAACATTTAGTGAAACATTAGGAGTGTGCATTTAATTCCGAGTATGATTTTTATGATGCCTGGGTCATGTTATATAGAGAATTCTAGCACAAGATCCAACTATAGCAAAAGTTACTTACATCATCTTTTGTTAGTTTAATAAAATGAAAACAAAGAAGCTATTCTGGATTCTTAGCACATTGTTGCACTGTTGGGAGTCTCAAAAGCTTTCCTTGAAATTCTAATATCTAGCTGAAGACAAATATGAACTTATTTTCTTTCCTCCAATAGAGTTCCATTTATCTCCGAATGATTTATCTCTAAATAATGCCAAAATATCCATCCATAAACTGTTTAACACTCAGGGTCATAAATATATTTTTCATCCAGTAATTTACTTTCTGTGGGAATGGCGGATCAGTAAATAGTGCAGAGAAGCTGACCAGAGAAGGACATTACGAGAAATTCTAGGAGGAGTGTTCTGCTTAGCTTTCTACTATGAGGACATAAAGTCCTTACATTACCAGTGTAAACACTATATTGCACTATCAGTTAACATGGCAATTTTTTTAATAATATAGTACAAATATTCCCAGAAATGTACTATCACATGCAGATACTCATCCTTTGTTTATCCTCTGAACAGGAAAAATTAACTGTAACATAACAAGATAACATGAAAAAAAATATATACTTCAATGGATTGCAAATAGGAGTGACTGGAGAACCACATACACCACTGGGCATTTATCACTCAGAAATACTTTAACATGTTGGCTACATGCAATGCTACATATGGAAGAAATTCCTTACAGTAATAGATTTTCAATGCATTCGCAGCAAAGTAAGAACTCACACCTGCTTGACTGACAAAGTTGAGGTGAGGAACTGTATCTCTGCGAGACAGAGAACTAGGTTACTTGAACGAACGTGTTAACATTCGACTGAAATTTTCCAGCATTCCAACTGCAGAGCTTCCACAACACTGACCCATCCAAATATTCATCCACAAGAGGACGGAATGCCTAACTACTGTTCTGTGGCAATATGCACAGATGACACAGAAATAGCAGGAAGGGGTCCTGAACCAAGGCTCGTCATTAGTCAAGTCCAAAAAATGTCTATTGATTGTCAAAGTCTACTTTATTAATAAAGAAAATTAAAGGCAATTAAACTAAATTGAATTAAACCAAACAAGATGAAAACTGCCTGGTTTTCATTTCATAATCAGCATTACCACAATAACTGTAAAATTCCATAGATATTAAAAAGACAACTATCAAAGCCATTTTCAATGCCAAATACATCGTCACTCATTAACGTATCTCACTCTCTCATTTTCATATTATTACTCTCACCTACACATCAAATTGTAATTCACATGTCAAATTATAATTCTGGAAACTCCTTAGGAAACTCTCACTATATGTTTCAAAAGTTCGAGCAACTTACTTCAGTGTTTCAAGTGACATTTGCAAGTTATAATTTCTTTCCTGCTCTGGCAATTTTGAGAACTCCACTAAGCATGGATGTTGTCTTTTGTTGTCATCTCTAACCTGAAAAGACAGTAAACAAATAAGCTTAATGTGTCCTAGGAACTAGAAGAAATTTAAAAACAGTCCAAAACACAAAGTCCTTAAAGGTGATCCTGTCAGAATTACTCAAACCAAACAACACTTCAAACAGAAAAGCATTCTATATTCTCAGTGCATGATCGTTCTGTTCAAGTAAGGCAGAATTTGCATTTTCAAATAAACTTCAGATTTGCAGATCTCAAGAGGAATAAATGCTAATTTGTATATTTCATTATACAGATGTTCACAATAAATATGCAAAGTTCAAGAAAAGTGCAATCTGTTATGTTTTGACATACAGCCATAAAATAACAACTCATCTTCAGCACCATGTTTGAAAAATTATGCATCCAGTTTGCATAAATGTTGATATGAATAGTACTGAAGTCCATAGCCTATAAAAGTAACGATATAAAGAATAAATCTATCCTATCTCTTAATTCAAAAAATGTTTGTTTCTTAAATATGTCCAGTAGTATATGAGCAGAATGCAACTTTTCAGCAGTCACAAATGATTGGAACATTAATTTACCTTTACTGTAGTGACAGCAGAATCATGAAGACTGTAATTTAGAAAATCCTGCATTTTATAAACTTAAAAATTTGATCAAAAATATTTTAAACCTGCACTACTTCTATACAGTTTTAGTCAATACTGGCCATAACTAGGAACGGCAACCTGAGAGGCTGGGATAACTGAGCATTCTACTGCTCTGTGCTCTGCATCTTTATCATGCTAGAGCTCAGTCAACAAAATCTACAAAGATTATGTCTTGCTAGAAGGCTTGGTAAGAAACATTAGTTTGCAAATATTAGCTAAAAGATCCCAATGACAGTGTTAACGTTTGCTAAGCTGAGACTACATCTTTACCTATATATTAAAACACTTTTGTCACCATCTTTCATGGACCATAAACTCAGCATTTACATTAAACTTAAAGCTGCAAAGTGAACTTTATTGACAAATAACATTATTGACAACTTTTGATGAATCAGGTAATTTTTCTGGCAAATAGAATGTTAACAGTTGAAGTTAAGAAGTCTAACAGTCATACTTTTTCCAAATTGATCTCTACTTATTTGGTGAATACAGGATGGCTTTTAAATTATTTTAGCTGAAAAAAGACCAATGTAGGAATTCTCAGTGACGTGGTACCATTGAACTGGGTACAATCTGTTCTCAACAGCCTGATTTGTTGTTCCTACACAGAAACAGAATTGATGTTTAAAAAGGATAAGAAAATCAGTAGCATATAAATTGGCCTGAAATTTTTGACTTCCAGAAAAATAATCAATCACACTTAAATGAATTGCTTGCCCTGCATACTGCATCAAATAAAAGAGCTTTTCTTTGAGTATTTTAAAGTGAATGTCTTAAAATTACATCTAGCATCATGGCAATAAATCCATATGCAGTACCCAAGATTACACTTAAATAAAATCATTGGGACACAAACATTGTGTGTGAGAGCCAGGGAAGGAAAAACAGTCATCTGCCAACTGTTACCTATTTATAAATTTTCTCTAATTTCAAGTCCTGAATGTTAATTATACATGAGTACCCACAGAGTGAATATGAACATGGATCACTGATAACTGCAATTTATTTTTAATTTATCATGTTCTTTTTTTGCCAGTTCTTTGTTTTTCTATAACAATAACTAAACCGTACACTACTACTCAATCTCGTTTCTTTAATCTTGTTAAAAACATCTCACATTTCTCTATAACATTTCTGAGTAACATTTCTGCATTTTGATCTAAGCAAATAACAAACAAATTGAACAGGAGTCATTTGTTTATGTTTTGGATTGAAAAATATTTACAGTCTCCAGGGGATATTTATCTTCATTTGATGGGGTTAATGTTCTTTGGACAGGCAGTACAAGCAATTCACCTTTCAAACAACTTGGTCAAAATAATTTGCAGCTAAAATGAGAAATATCTTTTAGCAGACACTGAAAATGTTCATTTGCAGATTTCTTCAAAATTCAGTTATAGTCTCCAATAAGAAGGACTATTTTAGATCTTTGTACAGCTAATTTAAATCTTGAGCATCAGGTGTTTTCCTCAGAATTCCAATGTTAATTGAATTTCCCCTAGTGACACACTTTTCACTCTACAGCTACAATGTATAATACTTCTATCATAGAGTCAAGATATTTTGTAGGTTGCCTTCCCACCTCACTTTTTTTTTTTTCTTCCGAGCACAGTATAAAAATCTACCGCCTTGCAAATACACTATATAAGTGGCAAAAATCATTACACCTACCAATTCTTAATTTTTGTGTCTGGTTTTATACAGTGATGCTTAAGAGAAACAAAGATATGCAGATGTATCTGATCATTTCAAATTGGACATCTAAATACCACCCATATTCAAACTTATGAAGAAGCAACTTAACAAAAGTCTTTAATTTTGCCACATTAGCTGGTTATTTTACTTTGTTTCATGTATAAAATGCAGTACTGATATTACATGCAATACTATGTATCACTCTGGTGATACTACACACAGATCTGATGAAACAGGTACATAGCGGGGAATATGAAATACAACCTGCAGCAGATTTTTTGAATAGTCTGGAGAGACATTTAAATCTACCAATTCTCTGTCTTTTAGCCTTCAAACTTTTTGGCTTGGTGAAAAAAACCACCACTTTTTCAGAAAAGCTAGCTACTATACATAATGCACCTTGCTCTGAATTAAAAAGACCAAATTTAACTAAGATTAGTTATGTGTGCATCTAAACCAGCTAATTTCTGTTTCATGCCTTCACTCAGTACTCAGTAACTGCAGTACATCAATAACTAGAATTGTTAACAGCGGCTTAAACTGATGAAATCATCTGTGAGAAACCAATATGATAAAGGAATCAGCCTCCTGAAGTTGATCACCATATACTTTGCCACATTCCCAAAGTAAGCACATCCAAGCATAGAATACTAAAGCTAGAGAGAGAAAGCTGAATACTTTAAAAGATTTAGCACCTGGTTTCATTCTGAACATAACTACATTTATTGCTGCTTAACTGGCTACTTACTATATATTGTTTAAATTAAAATAGTGTTCAGCTGTACAATAAGATTCTTGATGGCAAGTAATGGTACACTAAAAGTTCCTGCAGACTTCTTCACAGCTGGTCTGATTATACGACAATTAAATGTTTTGACACATTAATTTAGCTGAGGCTTTGTGTTTGATTTGTTGGGGAAAAAAACAACAACATCTAGAGATCTTCTCTGTTAATGAAATATTTTTAAATACTGCAGTATGCTACACCAAATATAACATCTATGCCTAGTTACATTAAATCTGTAGTCTGAACTCCTCAGAAGACCAAAATCTTTTTAACAAAAATAGAATGCATGTGTTTCTATATATGCATACATGTTTTTTTCACTAACATATAGTATCGACTGCATGTTTCTGTACACTCGTCACAGCAATAGTTCTTCATAAACAACACCATTTAGGATCCAAGTAACTAGCTCATATGCTTTTTTATGATTGATTAAAAAAAAAAAAATCTAATCAACAAAATAGACGGCATTTTGCATCAAAGCCAGAAGCCACATATTTTTTTCTGTCAAGCTCCATGAAAAGCAGATGATTGATTAAAAAAAAAAAACTAATCAACAAAATAGACTGCATTTTGTATCAAAGCCAGAAGCCACATATTTTTTTTCTGTCAAGCTCCATGAAAAGCAGGAAAAAGATAAGAAAAGAGCTATGTGGAGCACTCAACAGAGACATGAGCCTGAAGAAGTGGAGAGAAGGAAGAAGAAAAGCAGATTTAACAGGTTTTCCTATGAGCAATGTTTATTTTTAATGAAAGATAAGTTTGGGACTTTTGAAAGAGTTATGTTAGCCAGTAGATGTGAAGAGAACCAAGAATAACTGCTTTTATTGGCTTCCTCCACCAAGGAACTAAACTTCTTGTCCCAAGAACAAACAGAAGGTGAACACTCACTATGTGCTTTCTGTGCCAGCAGTTAGACTGGCTGAAAATTTCAGCACCAAACAGCTTTAATAACAGAATTTTGGTTCAGAAATAAACAAACACTGTTGGTTTCCACCTGCTTCTGGTGGAAAGGAATTTTGGAGGGATGAAAAAAAAACATGCAGTCCCATTAGTACACTGAAAGCAATGTGCCAAATACTACTATGTAATTAACAGAAAATTAAGTTGGAAGGTACATACTGGTCCATACTGCCAGCCAAGTTCAATCTTATTCATAACCCAAAGTTCATGGATGTTCTCTGCTAATTTTTCTCTAATCCTTTCAAGGTGAGGAGGCAAAACAATCTAAAGAGAGAAGAGAGAAAGAGGCTGTTACAATTAAGTTGCTTGACAGTGCCACCCAAACTTTCATTATAAACTTTGTAAAAAACAGATTACTCAACTAAACCTAAATTATCACTCAGTTCTTACTGACTAAAGCAAGCAAGAATTCTTAGCTCAACAGAAATACTTTAACCTATGCACTTATAAGTTCCAGAGATGGACCAGCAATGGGAAGCAGTTTTAAATCCAACACCTCCAAATGGCATGGAAGACATTCCTGTCAACTGGCTAGAAACTACTCAAACCAATACTATTTCTCAGCTTTAAAAATGCTAAAAATCTCAACCAAGGTAATGCGGCAAAAAAACACTTCAGACAAATACAAACATTTGAGAACTGAACCCCATTAAAAAAAAAAAAAAAAAAAGATGACAATGACAGGTGACAAGTAAAATCAGGACAGCACATCACTCTACCTCCAAAATTTGAAATCAAGTCTGCTTTACTTCAAAAACCAGAGACCTCAAATATACAGTGCTGTGAATCACGATAATGTTGCCCTAATGGCTGGTGTTACAGAACAATAACTACACGACACCTGCAGAATGCTGTATTTAGCGCATAATGGCAACTATCAGGTTTGGGTTTTTTAATGATTTTTTTTCAGGAATGAGTTCCAAAATATGGTAAAATCTGAGCACATAGTTTACAAAAAATTGTGTCATCTCAAACTCTGGCCAAGGGTGTAATGAACTCTCGCTATCTGTGGTCAGATATGGAGTTCTTCGGTATCAAAGAATTATTGCTCTTTGAAACTATGTAAAAAGAAAAAACGAAAACTATAACTTCAATGTATGTCATTTACTGCCCAGAGTGAGTCAAATGCCACTCTCAGTACTCTGCAAGTCCAGTAAAAAAGCCTAAATTGGTCCAAAAGTCTTATCATAACACAAAGTCTTCAGTACTTCAACAGTCAGAAAAACGTCTTGTACAGAATAAGAAGTTCAAGTATTTTTTGCTGACTCTAATACTAATGATAAAAGATTCTTTATTATAAAGTTTGTGAACTATGTGAAATTTCTAGTGAGCAGTAGAAGGACTTTACACACCATTTTCCAACTTCTTGCAATGGAACATACCAGCCAAATCCCAAGTTTGAGACAAGCTCCAAATTCAATCAAACGTGAAATAACATAGGACTATAACATGTGTGTTTAAAAATTAAAATGCAATCTTTCCATTTCCATACCTGGGTAGTATCTACAGGAACTGGAGTGAAAGCTGCTTGTGACAAAGAGACAGTGGGACCCAGAAGGTCTCTTGTATAGCTACGATCCTGCTTGTACTCCCGGCTATGCTCCACTTTCAGCTTCTCTTTCGGTAGGACAGCTTCAAAGCAAGGGGCATACCCAGGTGGAGGAAGGAACTTGAACTCTCCATGGCGACCTCCAAGCAAGAAACGCACCCTGTGAACATCAGAGTTGCTTTAGATAACTGAGATACCTGTGGTGTCAAACATAATCAGTTTGTAAGCCTAACAACTATTGAATGTTATTTTTTTAAAAGAAGAAAAAAAACCACAATGTTGCAGATTATTTGCATTGTTTACAGTTCAACCTTCTCTAACTAGTGCTCGAGTTTATGAACTCAGGTGCAAAAGACATGGGGAAAATAAACAATTCTTTCTTTCAGTTAATTTCCACTTCCATAAAGTATTCTAAATCATGAGACTAAAAGAGAAGACACAGAATTTACTTAGGACGCCTAGGAAGTAAGCAGCAGCTTTTCAAGTCTCAGAAGGCAGAGATTATAACCCAGAGTAATCAATCAACCGCCTCTGAACTCTCTGTTGAGGAGTTCTCCATTCTCTCTCATGTGAGAAATGAGCCTGAAAACTCTGTAGAATGTGGTTCTTTCTTTATTAAATCCTTGGGACACAAAACAAAAACTCCTATATTTTCTTCCCTAAAATACATACTTGTCATATTAGTAGAAACCTAGGGGAAAGCATACTTTTGTTCATTACAAAATGGTGAATTTGTTATGGTCTTTTGTTACTGAAAAATCCAATGAATGAGGTGATCATGATGTAGCAATGACATAATATTGCAAAATCTTCCCAGAACATTGCCATTCAGAAGGAATCAAAAAACATCCCAAAACCTAGCCTTACATCAGAATAATTTTGTTTCTTTTCTATTTACTGAGTATCTTATAAGTTTTCTGTCAATGCTATACCACAACACTCTGCAAATATTTCTCTCATGACGGAGATAAAGCACGCAGGTTAACAGTTTTGCATTTCATAGCAAGCATATCTATAGTCTCATCGCATTGTATCTCCTGTATCATTCAAAGCAAAGTCTAAAGAAATGCATATTGTATCTGGAATGAGAGGCTGGTATGTCCACTGTGTGATAGCTCTTAGCTTCTGTAGTATTCACCACAATCTTTGAATGATCCCTCACAGGGCATTGCTCTGTCTCCAACAGAAATCAGCTTTCAGCCTTTACCTTTGCCAGTCCTGCTAAGGCTGGTCTCTCGGCTGGAACATCACACAATGTTTTTTAATGTTATAGTCTCAAACTACCTAATAAATGGAAGCAGAAGTCTGGCACCTCAAGTGTGACTTGAAATTTTATAGAAAACCAGTGCAGCAACCAGAACACAGATTGCCTGAATTCGTATTAACTCATCCAAAAAAAAGTATACCACCACCATTTCTTGAGGTAAGTGCAGATAAGGCATCTTCAAATAATAGTTATGACCTCATAAGAAGTGAGTTAGTAGGGCAGATATATTTTTAATATCAAAGACTGATGTTTTTCTTCCTATTTATATAAAATGCTGTCCCAGAGTGAATGTGTAGCAATGTATCAACTAAGAAATCATAAAGAAGCTGCTTCTAATGTTTGTCTGCAAACCACCTGAATACACTGGTGTGCTGAAAAACAACAGATGCACCATCTCTTCAGGACTCCTTTAGCTCTCACTATCCAAGACCTGGATCTGTGCCAAAGAAGCAGATGTCAAAAAGGGAAATGAAAGCAAAGACAGCCAGGGAAATATTCAGCATATTCACATTCACAGGAAAAAAAAAAAACAGAATGGGGAAAAAACCAAAACAAACCACTACACGGGATGCTAACTTTATTCCTGCAGAGAAGCTGACAACTGGGAAGAAGAGGCCATCTATGTTGAAATTCTCAAACATTCCTTGAACTGGCTGACCATTTATCCGGAAAGAGATGCTGGGGGCACTCAGGTCCAAACAGCAGCTAATAACATCGTCAGTTCTCAACAGATGTTGGTTTGGAGAATTTACTGTTCGTGCTACACAACCTATGGAAGTAAAGGAGACACATTTAGCAAAATTTCTGAAAATCAGACAGGTTTTCACAGCAGCCTAAAAAGAGAGAAAGAAATCACAGCAATAGAGCACAAACACATTAACACACAAATATCTAATCTATAACATCCAAGACTCAATTTTAAGCTTGCAATATAGTAAATAGAAGCACGCAGTCGTATCTACAAAGATATTTTAATCATAAATAATACTATTATATTACATTTAATGTAAGTGAAAATAATTACTGATCCCCATAGAAGCAGTCAAAACCAAGAAAATTAAATTTTATTCCTTACAGTAGCAGAAGTACGAATTGAAAAACCACCATTTCTATCTAATATGAAACTAGCATACTTTACTAAAGAATGTTTCATTATTCAAGACAAGGACAAGTATCGGACTTTAAATTTTTTAGGAAAAGAAAGATACTTCCTGTTATTAAGGGCCACATCACGGTACCCCTGGAAACTTGTATAAGATGATGCTACTCAATTTCATAATCAAACTGCAAACCAGCATTTTTTCTGGCATATACAAGGAATTTTTTCCCCCAAGGAAAAATAAAAAGCACCACTTCCAGTACTTTACATATGGAAAATTGCTTCCTGATCCTGCCACATAATCCGCAGACTGTAGGACAGTGCTCTTGTGCAATCTGTCTCTCTTGTCTGCTAAGGAGCTTTAGGAAACTTGCTCATATCTTCATAGTGGCAAGAATTGGCAATCCAGTGAGCCTAACCCAGTTTCCAGTCAGTTCTACAGTTCATCACTGCCCAATAATATCTCAAAATCAAATGAAAAAACTTTTCCTCAACAAGGTGAAGCCACAGGAGAAACTCTCTTCAAGAAGTTTAGGACTGTCCACGTGTAGGACTACCCACTGCAAATGATATCTAGGAATCTTTTCACAGACGTTAAATTATGTGAAAAAGTTTAAGAGAACGAGCTTGCTTCCTTATTGTTCTGATTTTGTTGAGATAACCTAGTCTGAAAAGAGAATAAGATATTTGCAGAATCAAAACTAAATACAAGTACTTCAGATACTCAGTTCAGCTTCCTTTAACACTAGAATTTGCATATAGAAATTACTATTAATGAATACATCTAAGCTGCGCCAATAACATTTTAAAGATGAATACCTGACCAACATACCATACAGAAGGTAGGAATATGATTCATTAAGTCTTGCAATAAACAGTCAGTCTCAACGTATATACAAAAACATCACTACAGAAAAATATCTGGTTTAAAAATGTATGGCAAAAAATCTTCTTCATCTCTAAGTATTCCTAAAATTCTAAACTAAAGATATAAATTAAAAATTTGTTTAAAAAAAAAAAAAAAAGAGAAAAAGAAAAGTCCTGTGAATTCAATCTCTCAGGCTATTCTTACACTATCACAGAGGAATTAAAAATATACACAACTGTTTGTCAGACTTCATTTCTCGCACCTTTTAAGTTTTAAATAAAATCTTTATAGATACTACCAAAAAAAAAACCCCAAAAATAATTTCCAGGCTGAAAAATAAAAATAAATTATTATTCTATCCACGTTACTTTGTATAAAACTAGTTTTTCAATATGCAATGTCAACTTAAAACATTCTGATACAGGGTACTGTTTCTGTATGTTCCTAGTGTCAACTGCAATGTTCTAGTATTTTTAAAAAAAAACACAAAAAACAAACAAAAAA